CCCCAAAACCCCAAAACCCCAAAACCCCAAAACCCCAAGTTAGCAAAGATTAATTATTTTTGCAACAAAATGGGGATTTTCAGATCAGAAGATATGTCTTTATACGAAATTACCATCCCAAGAGACAATGCCTGGGAGATCATGAATCAGCTAGGTAACCTCAGCTGTGCTCATTTCATGGACCTCAACCGAGAAGAGCAAGTGTTTAATCTTCCATACGCTAGGATGCTCAAAAGATGTGAAGACACTAAATAAAATAGAATTTATTGAGCAAGAGTGTATTCGCAACAATGTTGAGATGAAACCTCCCAAAAACATCGAAGATTTCTTGAATAAGGTTAATAGCATCTCTGAAGTGGGCAGAGCCCAGAACCTATTCTTTGAAGAAATTGAAAAAGAAATTAATGAAAAAGAGGATTTTATCCAAGAACAAGTAAGAAAAGAAAAGGACATCTTTGACAGCTATATTCTTCTAAAGGAGTACAAGAAAGTTCTTGAATTGAGTAAGGAGATGATGATCGTGGCTCAATCTAGTCAGATAGACAAGGCTGAACCTCCTGTCAACTTTGGAATCAATGCTGAGGGAGATAACCCATCTCAAAATCCTGAAGTAAACGAGCACTTATTGTCAAATAATACTATTATCAAAGTCTCCAACGTGATTGGGACTATCGAAAGGGAAGAGAAAGATCGGTTCAATAAAATGGTATTCCGGGCAACTAGAGGCAACGCACTGACCCACTTCAGGGACTTTGACAAGCCTCTGATCGATTATTCTGGAAAGAAGGTTTACAAGACCGTCTATGTCGTAATGTACCCAGATGGAGAATCTGTGAAAAATAAAATTGAGAAGATCTGAGACTCCTTCATGGGCGAGAGATATGACATCCCTCTTGAAGACATTGATGATAAAATTAGTGAAATTAAAAAGAAAATTACTGAGACAAAGGAAATGGTCTTAGTTATCCAAAAGGAGTTACAAAATTATCTAATTTCTATAAACACTCTCGAAGACTCAGATTGCTCAGCCATCCAAGTCTACAAGTGGTATATTGCTAAAGAGAAGATTTTATATTCAACACTGAACAAGCTCAAGGCTGGAGAGAAGTTACTCATCGGGTTATTCTGGCTCCCAGATTGTAAAATATCCGAACTAAATGAAGCTATTGAGCACATCAGAGAAGATAGGAACATCTCAGGTCCTCAGATTTGGAAGAGAGAGTCTCATAATATTGCCCCTCCTACTTATTTCAAGCTAAATGAGTTTACTGCTCCCTTTCAGGAGATCACAAATACTTATGGAGTCCCAGACTACAAAGAAGTCAATCCTAGTTTATTTGGGATTGTTACATTCCCTTTTCTTTTCGGTGTTATGTTTGGAGATATCGGTCATGGTTTCCTCCTTTTCATGGCTGGCACCTTATTCTGACTTTTCGATAAGAAGCTCAAAGACTCAATGATAGGAAGCCTTGTTGAAGCAAGGTACATGATTGTACTCATGGGCTTCTTTTCAATCTTTAATGGTGTTTGATATAACGATTTCATGTCAATTCCTGTCTGGGTAGAGACATGATTTAATATCTCCGACCAAGGTCCAATACATGAAGTTTCTCTAAGAGATGATTGAGTACTCCCCATAGGTATAGATCCAGCATGGTTTCTGTCCTCAAACGTTCTAACATTCACGAACAGCTTCAAGATGAAGATGGCTGTTATATTCGGTGTTGCACAAATGTCTCTAGGAATTCTAATGAAAGCATTTAATTCCTTGTATTTTGGAAGGACTGTAGAATTCTTCTTTGAATTTATCCCCCAAATTATCCTTCTTTGGGTACTTTTTGGCTTTATGAACGTCTTGATTATTGTAAAATGGCTTGCAGATTGGCAAGGAAGGACTGACAGAGCTCCAGGAATTATCTCTGTGATGATAAACATGTTTCTCAGCCAAGGAGCAGTAGACAAAGGGGTTGACCCTCTCCTATTCAATGAAAATACTCAGAAGATGATCTCAATCGGGTTATTACTAATAGCCTTTATCTGTGTTCCAATTATGCTTCTAGTAAAACCTCTCTGGTATAGATGTAAAGTTGGAAAGAACCTTACTAAGAGCAAAGGAAAGAAAAAAAAATACAACAAACTATCAGAAGAGGATAAAGAAGATAGTGTTCAAACTATAGAACAACTTGATGATGGCAGATCAAGTACTGCAACATTGAAAAAGGAGCCATTAGATATGGACGAAATCATTCGTCAGCAAGGAGGCGATGATCACCCACATGCTTTCAGCGAGGTTTTCATCCACCAGCTGATAGAGACGATTGAATTTGTGTTAGGAACAATATCAAACACAGCTTCGTACTTAAGACTGTGGGCACTCTCACTTGCTCATAGTCAGCTTGCAGATGTCTTTTTCGAAAAGTTGCTAAACACAATGGCTCTTGAACCTGCGAGATGGTACATGTTATTCCTCTTATTTCCCATATTCTTTAGCTTCACCTTCTTCGTCCTGATGCTGATGGACTGAATGGAATGCTTCTTACACACATTGAGGCTGCACTGGGTTGAGTTCCAGAATAAGTTCTATAAAGGAAATGGGTACTTGTTTACCCCATTTTCGTTCAACATAATTTGATAAAAGTTCTACCGACAGTGAACACCCAGGGGTTTTGGGGTTTTGGGGTTTTGGGGTTTTGGGG